AAAAGACAGAAATTAAACCCACACTATGACTAAAAACCCAAGAAGGAAGGTCCTTAACAGTTAGTATTCAGTTAGTATTAATAATTATAACTTTTCATTTAAATGAATGAATTCAAGAATTAGTCAGTTCGTGTTAGTGTTTTATCCAGCTTCTCTTGTGTGCATCGAGTCCCTTTCATCATCTTCTACATTTGCGAATCTTTATTTTTTAAAGAGTTACTTTGGTCTTCTAAGCCGCAAGTCATATGTTTCTTTAGCCGCACCGCCCCCCGCTGCACCTTGGTCTCCGTCCGTGTCTTCTGTAATGCCTGCTCCGCTGTCTCCTTCCTGCTGTTCTTCTTCCTTTGATCCAAAGTACCGTTTCAACCATTCCTCCGCTTTAAAAACCGAGTCAATTTTCCCCCTTTTATCTCTGTATTTGAACACGACGCCTTCCGGGAAATTCCAGGAGTATGGGATTTGGTTGGTCTGCAGGGTTGAAATCAGTTCTTTATACGCTTTCCTTTTCTGACGAACCTCAAACGGAGTGACCTTTAGGACCCTGATGACTGTTGCTCCTAGCTGCAGGGGAGTTGCTGCTGTTGCTTTAAGGATATCATCCCTCATCTGCCTTTGGAGAAACTTGACGACAACTTCACCCGGCAAGTTATTCCGCTTAATATATTTTGAGTATGATCGATAAATCACCTCAATTTCCACCTCCACTTCTGCCGATGAAACTCCCACCGCAGTTGCGATTTTTTAGTTAGCTAAGCAATTTGCTATTGCTGTTTTGCCAGGCTCTGGTTTGAAGCGGCTTGCCTGGCTCTGGTTTGAAGCGGCCATCTGTTGGTTAATATCATCGAGTCTCTTGTTGATCGGCTTGAGCAGCTCCGATAGCATAGAGAACAGATCGCCTGTCTCCTCCACCCTTGGACTTTGACCGCTCCGCCCTGCTAATCTGCCTGGTTTTCCTTGTGTGCCGGCCATTTTCAACTTTGTTTACAATAGAAGAACCTCTTTCACCCTTCTTCAAAAGACGCCCAGTTTTTTTCCGAAAACACAGCTAAGTCTCTTGCACACCTTAACGATTCTCTTCTCTCTTCCCCCTCCGTTTATATAACACAGTTCAATTTGTTTACGTCTGGGATTACACCCGACGCCGCTTTCCGTTGGGGGGGGAGAACTCACTTTAAAAACTTTTCCTCTTAGCGCCTTCTCCAATTCATTGCCGGTCTGTACACAGACCACTTGTAGCTTCATTAATTTGCTGATCTTCTCTGCTTGTCCCGGCTGGCATCGGCTATGCTCGGTTGAAAACCAAGCCTCACAGGGGACGGACTGATTGGGGCAAAAAGGAGCGCCTCAATTCTCCGACATTACGCCATCGAAGAGGTCGCCCCCCCAGCACCCCTGGCTTGGAGCCTATTACCAAGGCACACCTGGGAGTGCCACTTGAGGTGGCACCCCTCCAATCCCACTGGAGCGCAGATCTCCTCCCCAGAGGTAAGGGAGAACGTCCGTCATCACTGAGCCACAGACCAGAAGTCGAGACTGTTTATCCTTTGACTTCCTTTGAAGGCCGTGAGAGATCAGAAGGGCGTACACTCCCCGGCCTTCACGATAGGAGGACTTCTTTACAGTGTTAACAAGCGCTACTAATCTACCAGTTCACTCAGACATGTCTCTGATGCCCCTTCCAGAAAGTCAGAAGAGGAACCGTGGGAACATTTTAGAGACAATGCCGGCAGGTGCTGTTATGGGAATCAAGCGGGAGGAAAACAGATGCAATAGGAAGAACAGAGCATAGATATTTACATCATTAAAGCATAGCTACATTGAGCCCTGTTACAATAGAACACCAGAGTTCATCTAGACTGACCCTGAGGCCCAGCAAGGGTCCGATTCTAACAGTGGGATCTTTTATGCTTTTGAAGACTCCCTCTCCGACTGAATCTCGTTCCGCACTCTGAGCATTCAAAAGGTTTCTCCCCTGTATGGATTCTCTGATGCTCTTGAAGACCTCCACTCTGACTGAATCTCTTTCCACACTCTGAGCATTGAAAAGGTTTCTCCCCTGTGTGGGTTCTTTGATGGTGTTGAAGACTCCTCCGCCGACTGAATCTCTCTCCACACTCTGAGCACTCAAAAGGTTTCTCCCCTGTGTGGGTTCTTT